AGTGTGCAACGTTCAACAACACCAAGTGATACAGATCCAAATGCTTCGTCAAATGTAAAGATGAAAATTCTCAAGGCTTTTCTTTTTGTTTGCGCAGTCATCTTGTTCCTTCGATACATTTACGCTATCGGATTCAACTAGGTACTATACATTCAGTCAGCATGGCTTGGGATAGTGCAGCATGATTGGAGAGTGTCGATGTGAAGTTTGATTTCTGACCTATCGCAGGTAAACAAAGCAACCTTGCACCATCAAAAGCAAATCACTATCACTATCGACATCAATAGCAAATAAGTCTCGCCATTCTTTATCCTTTCACCTCTCACAAGGAATTTCATCCACTAGCCCCATAGCAAACCAAAGCTAAGACAAACCTCGGATCACAACCTGCGGGGTTACAAGGATTCTCCATCGTTTTATTACGAACTAAACCACCATTGGAAGCTCCCGATCCAAAAACGAATATTCACGCCATAAACCTGGTCGATCTAGAAGAGGCTGGTTCCTCTGGAGATGAGATAAATAACCCCAATCACCGGACCTGTCCGCAAATTGACTGACCCATTTCTCACAGCTCTGACTCTCAACTCTGATCTTTCCTTACAAATTCTCGTCATACTCTAACCCTCCATCGCCACAATGCGTCCCTTCGCTCTCTCTGCTGCCGTTTTTGCGGCCACCGTGCTCAGTCAAAAGAAGGGCGAGAAGACGGAATGCGCGGATGGATTGTACATGATTGCTGTACGTGGCACCGGCGAGGACAAGGGGTCTGGAAGAATCGGCGAGATCGCAGAGGACGTTAGCAAACGCGTCAATGGCTCAATTGTCAGCCCTCTTGACTACCCCGCGACTCTTCAAGACCCAGACTACTTTGATTCCGAGGATGCCGGCGTCAAGGCCCTGTCTGAAGCCCTCGATGACTATCACAGCTCGTGCCCCAATGGCAAAATTGCCGTTTTTGGCTACTCTCAGGTTGGTTGACCTTGAACGATTCAAGACGCACTGCTAACAAAAGATCAGGGTGGACAAGTTGCAACCGATGTGCTCTGTGGGGGAAGCGAAAACAAGCCCTTGACCATAAGCCTTGTCAAAGACAGCGGTGAGTAATGAGCAACCCTGCAGGCATCTATCTATTATAAACACAGAAACTAAACGAAGCAGTCGTTGCGGTCATCGCATTCGGCGACCCAAGCCACGTGGCAAACTTGACGTACGACAAGGGCACTAGCAAAAACGACGGAGTGAGTGCACAGCGGCATGTCGTGGAACGAGTCTCAACTCTAACGCGTGATGACAGATCTTCGAACGTCCCAGCAACGAGACAAAGTTGTGCGAGGACAACTACAGCGACATCTTCCGCTCCTACTGTGACACAGGCGATGTGTACTGTGACACTGGTAACAACAACGAGACCCATGGCAGCTACTTTGAGAAGTACGGTAAAGAGGTCGTTGACTTTGTCGTTGAGCGGTACGAGAAGGCGTTAAAGGAGGAGAGTACATCAACGCAAACCAGCACGGCTACTGCTACTGCAGCGACAAGTGGTTCCGCAACAGCCAGCGATGCTTCCGCCACAGCGAGTGATGCACCATCGGCCACTACAGCTACTCCCGGTAATGCTGCGGCGGGATTGGTACCTGGTCTTGTCCTGGCTATGATACCCCTGGTTTTGGCCGTGTCCGAGCTCCTCTGATAGGATCTCGTGGCAGGGAAAGCTATCTTACTGTATTCTTCGTGCAAGTATTGCTTAGATTCAATGGATTGGAACGGTCGGTTCAGACTCGAAAATGGAAATGCTAGCCTCTTGAATTGAGACGTTTCTTTCGTTGTCTATGTTTGCTGTTTACATGTACATCTGACTCCAACCTTGGGAATTCTGATACTTAAGGTGAACACATTCTATCTGAAATTAGACTCGAAAAACATGATTGAATGAACAGACAGTAAGTCACCAAGCTGGATGTCCAATAAGGCCTTTTAACACGGCCTGTCTCCATTTTCAGTCACCAGTGAGAGGTTTGTGATCACTATCCTAGATAACAAGCAAAAAACACTCCCATAGATCTAGTATAGGCCCAGTAGACCTTCTTTCCACGCTCGTCGTTTATTCCATCCGACTCAGTTGACTGACCGAACGCAAGTCCACTTACATCCGTCGGCCTCCAAGCAGAAGAATCCCAAAAATGCCAGCTATTCTTTGGGTACTTCTTCGTGCAGGTAGTGGTCACGAGAGAGTTAGTACTCTTGGCCAACAATTCGATATCTGGCTAGCAAATCGAGTCAGCACGACTCGCTCGATTTCAGATACCTTTGCCATCCTGCCAACCCCAAGCCCCTGAGTGTTTGAAGACCGAGATGGAGTCATACATTTCAAGCCACTACCCTCTTCAACCAACATGGGCATCCGCGTGACCGACGAGTAATGGTGGAAATGGGTTAAATGCTGCCTGTACAAAAACAAAGAGACTTTCATGTCTTCTAGGAACGAATCGGCCCAAGGTCCACACAGACTGGCGAAGAAGTCAAACGGGACTCCTTGAAAAGGAAAGGCACCCCGAGTGTATGGGGACTGAGAATATGGCCAGAGACTCGGTCCATAAATTGCCGGCCTCCGTCTTGATGCACAACGGCCCGAGATATCATTACATCCATTGCTGGGATGGCCGCGCATGTAAGCAGCATGGACATCTGGTCGGTCCATAGCAGCGAATCGCCGCCGCTCTCTTACTTCAGTCGATAGTTCCTAGTAGATGAGCCAAAAATACTTTGTAAATCTATTGATCGTTCGTGAGGATGTCGTGTTGCGTTGGTCTTTATTCAAGTTGGGTACGCTGATCGTGCATTTGAACTCGTCGAATAACTCGTCGTCTTTCAAACCGTCTGATCGGATTACTTCGACAAATGTAGGAAGGTTTCGGTTCTATTCAATGCTCGAGTAGCCTCAGGGGCTAAATCCACTCGTATAGGGTTGGGTAATGGGGGTTTCGTCCTTCGTAGTAGGTTTCCCGGCAGAATGGCTCTGTGTATCTAAGGTATGAAAGTCAACGAACCAGATCCAAAGACACGGCCGCATCCTGCAATTTTCAGGAGAAGGCGTGATGGCAGTCGAGCATGCTGTGTATTGAAGATCTCTTTGGTGTTCTGAGGCAGATTGTTTCACACACAAAGCTTTGCTAATGAGGAACAAAGTGACTTGTCGTGGGACAGTAATACAAGCTTGACTTACAAAGCAACACGACTTCGTATAGCTTCGCCAAGCAAAGGACTCGCCATACTTTCCAGCCTCCAATCTTCAAACTGTACAGACAAAACAAATAGAAGGACTGTTGCCAAGATGATGTGATCGGAGTCGTTCAGCGGCCGGTGAGTTCCTAGTGGTCGTTTGGTACACCAAAAGGGGAGAAAAAGGGGGTCCTCTTGGGTCGTGACCCTCGAATTGCACACTAGGGAACTTGTTGGTGTGGTATTTTTCAAACTTGAGATGCGAAGGTGGTCCGACTTATTTAAGTTCGATATAGGAATACGCTCGAGTTAGGAGACGACCGTTAGCTCGATAGTCGGGACGTAAGTAGGGAATCCTGGATATGATTAGCTTTCCAACGTTTCGGGGTTTGAACTCAAAGGAACTATCAGGGTGGCCGGCACGCTAGTACTCACCTCAGAACCTACGTCAATGCTGGGTCGGGAGGCTTAACCCTGACGCTGAGGGTCCAGTGCCCAGTTGATTGTCGATTGCGGGCTGGGAGGTGGAACAGGGGTAAAGCATATACCAATCCACTGTTCACTTGTCAGCCGAGTCTTCTCTTGTATCTCAAAGCTCTAGTGGGTGAATGGTCACCGTATCGATTCTTCTGCTAGCCCCTGGCTCTGTGCGCTCCATGCAAAGATCGAGCCCACGATACGCACCAAGCTCACCCTTGCGTGGAAATAAAGACAAAAGGGTACAAGAAATGCTGCATCGTTTCTCGTAATCATGCTCCTTAAGCGTTGTCTTGGAAGCTCCCAGGTTGACCTTGGAGTTGCGTCGTTGTCCTTCGGTAGGACTTCTGGGTCAGGACAGATCTCGCCTCGGGGGGAGGGATTTCCGGAAATAGCTTCTATGTGGCGAATCTCTTCTAGTTTGTTGTCAAGCTTTCTATCTGCTCTTCGGGGCACGTCTCGTGGCTGCGCAGTCAAGGGAGTCTTCGCCATCGTGCTTCGAGGTTCGGCACAGTCGAGGTGGAGCGCGAGTTCTAGGGAGACTATCGTGCAAGATACCTGACGATCGGCATATTCGGCGAGTCAGTATGATAGAAAGCAGTTCAGGAAAGGAGGTGTTCTTCGGGGCGGGGTCAGATTTGGCCTTTGCGGTACTGAAGGTTTCGTTCTGGGTAGACAATAAGGAGATCCGTGACTATTTCACAGGGCATTTGGTTCCACGAGCATACAGAACGCATCTGATGCACTGAATTAGCGCAGCATGGGCTGTTCGAACTGTAGGGCATGCTTACCTTGATGGGAAATTCAAAGACGGTCGCGAGCGAGCAATAGAAGACCGACCAGGAGATGCACGAGATGATGCAAACTTGGGAGGCTGATCTAGAACTTGCTTGATATTATCAAATGGATATTTGGGGTCCTAAGAACAAAATATATCATTGTTTGTCTGCAACAAACCGATATCAAACGAAAAACAAAGGAGTGACGGCTGCACCTAGGGAGGGCGATACACCCGATCAAGCGGTTCAGTGGCTGAACCCCTGGGCCCCAAAGGCTTTAGTGCTTCATGTGCTGCCTTCCTTTCTGGGTTTCCATCCTATAAAAGCCCACCCGCCATTCTTCCCCTCTCCTCTTTTCTTCTTCCTCACAACAAACACCACAAATTGTCATCCCCCTTTTCTATCCCAACAAGCCTTTCATCCATCAACAAGGCCTAGCCGTCCAGTATCGGGCTTTCCACAAATCATCAAACATCCAGCAAATTTAAGCCTGATGCTGGACGGCCCCCAAACTGTGCACCGATGGCCGCAACACAGGTAAAGCCACCCCTTCTAGTCTCTTCGATCTCGGCATGAACACACTGACTCCTCAATAGCCACTACCAACATTTCAAGTGGCAATCGGTGCACTGGGCTGGTCCATGCGGGCAATCCGGTGAGTCCTTGATACTGTGATTGATGCCGCCAACCTAGCTGACTTCTTCAGCATGGACCAAACCAATGAAGCATGGCTTTTTTTGGTTTTGGGGGCACATTCTAATTGGATTTCAATGGCGGGCGGGCAGGGCATAAACAAAATTCATTACGCCTACTGTATGCCCTGTCCGCCGCTCGAAGCCCAGAAGGGGCTCAAGGTAAGAACCATCTCATGGACATCGTTTCACTCATGGCTAATGGTGTCTCTGGGATAGTCGCCGGGACACTCACGCGAGGGAAGGTCTCAAGTTCTCTTTCACTCCGGTTGTCCATCATGGCGCAAAATTACCGTCTGCAAAACATTCTTCTCTTCAATGCTCCAAGTCCAGGAAGCCCGCCTTATATCACCACACAAAACTCACTCCAAGACTGTCACCAAGAACAGCAGTGGCGGAGCGCCATAGGTGTATCATTGCAATTGCCTAATCACTATCAATACTCCTCTTTTCGTCTTTTTATCTCTCCCACAACTATTCGTTCAAGGTATACCTTTCAACTCTCAGGGGCAACGTACCCTCAGCTAACACATTGGTAGATAATACAAGACAACGCTCGCAATGAGTTCCCACTCCCTGATGCATCAAACTCAGTAGCACTTCAAAACTCCACTTCAGGATGGACGCAAACCCTCGCAACAGGAGCAGCTCCAAGTCGCGGGAGATGCCTTCCGGCAGTCAACGTGTCGACTTGAACGCATCACAGTACTTCAATGTGCGTTCAGGTGGAATAATTTGTCAAAGCATTTCCCAAAGGAACTCGTCAATCTTAGCAAAGGGAATCTCGCCACTACTCTCCGACTCGTCTCACTGTCCTTTCTCCCAGCCTCGCCGGGTCTCAATACCCGTACCTCCCTCTCTTCACCACTATCCCTGAAGACATGGTCACAAGCGTCCAGGCAAAACATGCTCAGCGGCAGATGGCATATCTCCCATAACCTAATCCAAAACAGGTGGATCTGGGAGATATTTCACGCACTTCTACCTTACTTCCCTTCATCTCTGTTGGGGGGGTTATTTTATCGACTTGCAATTCCCTTTACAGCTGTCTCGCTCTCGTCCACCCAACCACAACAAGTCAAGTCCAGCCTACCCACTTGCAATTATAGGATCACCAGCAACTATTGTGGCTAGACCGAGAGAGTCTTGGCTGACCCTCGACACGTATGTGTTCAAGCATGGTGCGTAGCGTTTCGGGTTTGGAGGAGAGTTACCAACTGGGGGACTGAGGAAATCGTGGAGCTATGGTGTTATGTCTCAAGGCTGTCCTCTGCTGTGTTATTTTAGCTTGAGATGTTGAGGATCCTTCGGAATACACAGACATAGAAGCAAAGAGTCTACCAGGGGGGCGTGTCTTGAACTACAGTCTCTGAAAATACGTAGCTGGATTCAGGGGGAGGGATACTAGGGGAGGAAAGAAAACTCGGGACCTTGATCCTAAATGACAAGAAGGCTTAGGTAACTTAGCATAAATTTGTTTACAATACCTCGTGTTGGGTTTATTTTGACGCCCCAGTTCAAGGCCATGTTGTCGTCCTCCCCGAGAGGAGAATAGCCTGTCCTTTACTATGTCGCCTTCTACAATTAATCAAAATTCAATTGCAAGCTACACGTCTACAGTTCTTCCTCTGATGACTGTCTCGTTGGGCTTTATGGACTGTTTTTGGACTACAAATGCACATCAGTTAGCCATAGTATTATTTACGTGACGTGTTTGTCCCGCCGCTGTCGAGGCCAGCCACAGATCAGCACATACCATTAATTGCCACAATTCACGGCAATCTCTTTCGAGACTGACTTTGTGAAAATGGTAAACTCGGCAGCAAACTAATCATCATTGAGCTTGTGCTATGCAGTACACTCGCCTATATGCAGGCATTCGGGAGTCTACATGTATGCTGGGCATTCCTGAGTGGCCCGTGTCAACTCAGCCTTATTGCAGAGTGTTCGGCTTAGATTGTGCGCAGTACAACAACGCATGCCTCTCTATCAGCTTGGTTCCCTACGGCACAGCCAGCACATCTCTGAGGTTTTGTATCGATGACATCCTGACTGCGCCGTTCCTGGTGAGATGGAGCGCTTTGTCTTCAACTCTTCTCTCGTTTCACTAGCTATTATTTTCCCAGGACACGACAGATACAAGCCATCGGCCTCACGCGTAGGCAAACGTTTAAGTCCAGGCGCTTCTCGTCAAACGATGATCAACGCCAGAGATCCTGCGACCACCTTCCTCAAATCACTACAATGTGACGCTCCGACTCAAAATCCGTACCCGGAATGTTGCCTCGTTCGGTCGGACGAGGTATTTCCTGGGTACTACGCGCCTTATGCCAGAAGGGCTTCCCAACTAAGATCATCGCTTGCCTGGAAACATCCAAAAGAGAACCTCGAGTCCATAGGCCTTCCTGCTGGGAGGCTCGGGCAGCTGCTCTTACACGATACCCCCAGCTACGATTCTCCTATCCTCGCCGGTATTGAGCTTGAAGGCAAATGAAGAATCGACTGCGGTATCCTCCTCCCCCCTACCCATGGATTCGAATCACCGGGCAGAGTAATCCCATGGCACAGGAACACATTCAGGGGCCGATACTGGTTTGGCATACAAGTTGTCCAAGACACAGACCGACATATCGAATGATTCCAATGGAGGCGCTGCCACAGTATCGAAGTCAAAGCGTCGGAGCATCAAGATATGGCTGGAAGCCTGTCCGGCTGGGCCACGGAGCCGAAGAGCCTAATGACGGCAACCCCAACAATGAACCAGATCAGGGAAATGGAATTACAAACGATGGTCACGAGGTTGTGGCTGTGTGGACTGGAATCGGTGATTGGAAACGCATGTACGAGATTGGAACTTTTCAACCTGTTGGTAGCGGTGCCAGGCGTGGAATGGGGGCATGCAGTGGAAGACTATGGCACTTCTGAGTTGTTTGTGCTTCTGGCAGAAGATAATGCGTTATAACACTATTATTCTGGTTACCATTTGCACTGGAAAATAGAAGATATTGACATCATTGAGGGGGTTCAAGTATGGGAATCCTGGTTTAGCAGATGAGACGGTGTTCCAAACCGCGGCCACACAACAGTCCGTACAGGCGAAGCAGTGACATAACAAGTGGCCATTAACAATTAATAAATCATGATATGATTCAATCAACCCAAATTTCGTATATTTCATCAAAGTTGGCTCCCTCCCCGAATTATTGCAGGGTTTCAGCCTCGCATTCATGCAAGGGTATGCATGCTGTGCCTTACACCAAGCTCAGATGGGAACTGGCCGGGTCTTGAGGCCATAGAGAGCACTCTAAGAAGCTCTTGGTACCAAACATGATGTGCTACGCAATGCCTAAGCCTCAAAATCATACCAGCTGTCTGGAAACTCGTCCCGTTTATCCGTGGAGAGGAGACAGCTGATAGTTCTCCGGATATATTCATGATCAAACTGTATATAAGCTTCAGGATAACACCAATACATGGAATATCGTTATTCACAGCGCTTTCACATTATTCAAATATTACCAGATCATTTTTCAGCCAACATGCCTACTGCTACCGAATACTTTGGCATATCTGTCAGCAATATTGGTCCTCTCACTACGACCTACACGCCTCCTCCGGAATGCACCAGGGCAACAACCGATCATCTCGTCTATGCCCTCGAGAGCTCCTTGGTATATGGATTTGGTTCTCCAGACTGTGTGATTGACCCTTATGGAAAATGTCTTCCCTCTGGAGCTGCCATGGATTCCATCATCAAAGAGTACAGTAACCCAAAGTCTGGACAAGGCATTCATGCGTTTCACTCTCCTGAATCCACTGCCCTGAAGGTTGGACTACCGCTGGATTACTTGCACACGGTGATAAGACTGGATCGGCGTATAGAAGTGGTGTATTTACCTCCACGACGAGCGTAAACTCATCGCACCCCCTGCAGATGGGCTCTGATGAATGGTGGCTCAAAGTCCTGGGGCCTTCCGAGACCCTGGCGTGGTGCTGCCCAAGGTATGTCGACCTCTCAGACAGTCTATTGTACTGTATACTAACCCCATCGCTCACAGCGGCTGGGCTTCTCTCCCCTACGGATATTGCAGGTCCTCTATTGCCCCCGCTCTTTCAGCTGGGTACAACAGCGCTTGTTATCAGGGAGTCGCCGAGACCGCGGGCATTGTCACTGTCCACACTGTCGAGGGTGAACCTGTTTCTGATACAGACGGGCTTCTCTCTTTCCTCCCTGACATAACATATACTACGGAGACGGTTGCATTGACTGAACGGTGGAGTGATCCCAGTTTGGTTGCATCCATGGTTATTGCTAGACAGTTTCCTGCGGTTGAGATGATCTACAAAGCTGAAGATGTCAAGGCTGCTAAGAATGGGTCCAAGGACGACGAGGATGGGAAGGCTAAGGACGATGATAATGCCGCGTCGACTCTGTCAAAGGTCGGAGGGGTTGCCTCAGGGGTTGCATTGGTAGTCGGATTGCTGACTGGAGCTGGTCTGTTGATGCCTTGGTGAGGTGGATATGATGCTGTGAGGTTATCTTGCACTTGGAGCTCTGCCTAGGAAGTTGAGTAGTATCGCGTTTTGAGGTAGTCTCCTACTTTGAGTAGGTAGTCAATCTGCTGCTTACATATCACGTACCAAATTGAACAATAGGTTTTCTTGGGACTATAGTCATCTCAGTTGGCACATGCGAGTTACTGTTTAGCATACGAACCACACGAAGGGCCCAGGGATAGATGGTTCAAGCCCACATTATGGGCAATCAAACCTTGTATATGATGGACTTCTACTTGTGTCGTCACCTGAGTCTTTTTATGCCCTTATACAAGGTGTGAGGTTACAATGCAAGCCTGGAAAGGCATGAGATGACAACACTGTGCACAAGAACCCACGGGCATGTGTTGGTAGTCTCCAAGTGAGACTCTTCAGGCTACCTTACTGCCAGGGAGAAACTCTCCCTAACTTTGTATCAGTGTTGATGGTGTTTCCCCCTGAGCAGCCCATGGGGTCCGTCTCAGTGGCCTCCCCCTCGGTTCCCAATTGGTGTTGCAAAGACACTCGAGTCGCTTGTGTCGGCTGTCTACTTTCGACCATCTCTTAGTTGCAGCAATATCTGAATCTCTTCTCAAGACAATCAATGCTATCTTAGTTCATAGTAGTGCTTCCATTGCTCCCAGGTCGTTGTGAGTGGCTGACTGATGTCTTGAACCAAGCCCGTTCAGCTTTACCTTGGTTATAATGTGATACCGCAATTTGTCCATCTATTCAGGGGCCTCGCAATTGCCTCTCGTCTCGCCTTCCATTGTTCAACTACTGCAAGTAATTGGTGCCTCACTGGCCAGGCTCCTTTTGATCGTGACGGGAAGTAGACAGCCTCGATCCTTCTCCCTGGTCCAGGTCATCCACCATCCTGCCCACCCACGCTCCTTCCCCCTCAAGGTCTTCGTGGCCGACCATAAAACTCGGTTCCCTCAGTCTCCGAGTCTTCTCTTCTTCTTTTCTTCATCATCATCATCACTCACTCATTCATTCATTCATGTTCAGCCCAGTCTTGTACTCCCCAGCGCCCTCATGTATCTGCCCTTCTTGTACTGTCCTTTCTTCAGCGTATCCGTTTTTGCATCCAGCGTCATCGTTTATTGTTCAGCACATTCTTGTACCCCCAGCGTTCTCATGTATTTGCCCTTCATGTATCCCCCTGTGAGACTCAGATTGTTGACTTTAGTCGATGATCATCACCGTCTCACACGCCCTTGGTCAACGGACAGTCCATTCAATGGCTGCAACCGTACCCATACAAGGGCGAGAGCAATTCAGGTTGCCCTGTCGGCATAGCCCCTCACTTTTAACTTACCGGGGGCTTATATGCTGACACCATAGTGACTGGCTAAATAGCCTGCTCATTTCGTGGCATTGGGTTCTCGGCTCGCCCACTGGGCTTGGCCCAGCTGAGACATTTCCCCCGTGATATCACTGTGAAGTCCACTTGAATCGTGAAGGTTAAACCCGATATGTGCCACCATCTCCAGGCTCAGTTAATGTCCAAATGTGTTTAGTGAAACTCCATTATTGAGGACTGCCCATCATTGCCTGTGTACTAAATACCCCCCTCCCACCCCCGTGCCAGTTTGGCATCCCTCTTGAATCTGTTGCGTGAAGTTTTGATAGGTCATGTATTTTCACTAAAGACTTGTAGAACGAGGAGACTTACGCTGCCCATCCAAATTCCCGGTCTATAATCTTGTTGAATGGTGCTTGTCAGCTTCACTGCAATATTGCTCCAATGTCGCCCACAGTCACTTGACTGATAGAGTGTACTCCGGTCCCTGCGCTGCTCATCTGGTGACATGAGGTTCCGCTCACTGGATACTGACCTTAGGGAAGAGAGATAAACAAACAATTCAGATTGTCCCGTCATCATCGGGTAACTCACGACCCCAGACGAACGAGCAGGACTGCAAAGGCAAGGCACCGATTTATTTATACCTTGATTTGAGTGTATCCACTCTCAGAGACAACTTAACATTTCTTAATTTTGGCTCACCAGAGTTTATCTTGCTACAGCCTACATGATGAGCCCACTCTGTCATGTGACTGTACCAGGAAGCTTTAAAGTAAGCCGATGCGGTTGGTTGGGGGCATCAGGCATCTGCTACAGAGTTCTATCCTATAGAAACACTAAACACTCAAACACAACGCAACTACTGGGGTGAATTAAAGCAGTACAGACATTTTTTGAATTAAGAGTAAAGTATAATTGCTTTAAACTCGCTCACTCTCGGAAATGGAAGCCAAGTTGTGCAATCTCGATCGATAAGCTTCGACGTTGTCTCCAATCGCAGCCCTAACAAGCTCAACTCAGACGAAGTTCATCACCAACGAAGTTTTTCCATACTAACTCGTAGGTGTTACATCATTCACCTCCTCAATTGACAGTGGAAGGTACACGAAAACTGACATGGCGCCGTCATATCGCGGCTATGAAACATCTTGGTACTACTCATCAACGGCTGTACGTTCTCAGCCATCATTCGGAACGTCAGAGCAAGTATGATTTACCCATCTGTCCATTCTCGCACGTAAGAAGACAAGATGATTAATTGTTCGTCTCAATAACCGCAATGAGGCTGCCTTGTTGAGCAGTCGGTGCCGTCCACTTCCAAATGCTGCATTCGGCAATTGAGGACAAGCAAAGCACACGACAATGTGTTAGCGCGCGACATCTTTCTCCATCCATCTATAATCGGGTATTCGATCTACATTTCACTACAATTCTTGTGTACTTTAAGTGCGATTGGAGTGCAAGGTTATGCTCTTCAACAAGGCTCCAGGAGAAGATACTGCTCTTTGCCACATCCGTCAACATTTACCTCCACACTGGGAGCCGAGTACATTCGACAATCACTTTGTCCAAGCTGACAAAGATGCCTCGATTGATGGCCTCGGGAGAAACTCACATATTCAGCAAAGTACACATGGTCCAAGGTGCAGTAGCTCAGGTATCATCACAACGGCATTCATTATGTGGTGGTATATAAAAACGCCCTCGGCGTAACTCGTCACCCTCAATTTTTTACACGCGTCCTCGCGCGCATCATGTGCACATTTGATCCTACACACGAACAAGTCCCTCCTCCCACACTCAATGCAATCCAGCCTCCAGCTTTTTCGTTGGTCTCTCATGCGCTGATCATCGTAGACCCCAAAAGGTACTTTTGCCCGCCGGCAAAACCCAGTAAACATAAAACTCCGCAAGTAGATGGAATCAAGAAAGTTAAGAAAAAGGACATGATGGAATAGATGGTATCAGATTGGTTGCGGCTCGTGGTTAAGCTGGGGTTCAAGCTTAGCCGTGCAGACCGCAGGTACGCTCTCTCATCAGCTCACGTCTCTTCTTGTCCTTGGCTAAAACAGGGGTCAGCATTTGTATGTATTTTGTGGGAGCGGGTAACTTACCTCCGTCAAAGACGAGGAACTCATGTAGACCGGAACCGACCGGAACCATGGGCAGGACAGGGACCTTCTTGTCGGTGACGACCTCCAGCAGAGCAGGGCCGTCGGTGTTGATGAGCCACTTCAGGGCATCGACAACGTCCTCGGGTTTAGAGACACGTCGATTTTGGACGCGCATGGCCTCGGCGAGCTTGATGAAGTCGGGGTTGCTCTGGTGAGTGTGGGCATATCGATCCTCGTAAAAGATGTTCTGCCATTGTGTGACCATACCCTGCTCCTCGTTGTTAAGAACAATGACCTTGACACCAATGTTGAACTGAGCAGCAGTGGAAAGCTCAGTCAGGGTCATGTTGAAGGAAGCGTCACCATCGATGTCAATGACAAGAGCGTCAGGCTGGGCAACCTTGGCACCAATGGCAGCAGGTAGACCGTAACCCATGGTACCAAGACCACCAGAGGTGATCATGGATCTAGGGTGTCTCCATCGGAAGTGCTGGGCAGTCCACATCTGATGTTGGCCGACACCAGTGGCGATGTAGGTCTTGTCTTTGCGGTCGGCAACGAGGTTGCTGAGCTCCTCAATCAGAGTCTGGGGCTTGATGAGACCAGAGCGCTCGGCACGCTCGTAGTCGGTCAGGGGCCACTTCTTCTTCCACTCGTTGATCTTGTTGAACCACTCCTTGCGGTCCTCCATGGTCTTGGACTCAATCAGAGGCAGGAGTTCCTTCAGATTGGTAGCGACATCACCCTCGATGGCCTCGGTTGCTTGAACAACCTTGTTGATGTTCTTGGGCATGATCTCAAAGTGGACAATACCACCACGGCCCTCAGCAGCAGCGGCCTTGGCACCGGGAGCGAACTTGGCAATGCTCAGAGTGACACGGTCGTCGAATCGGGCACCGAGAGCGATGATAAGATCGGCCTCTTGCATGGCCATGTTGGCATAAGCAGAGCCGTGCATACCAAGCATGTGCAGGGACTTCTCGTCGAGTTCGTCGTAGGCACCTAGACCCTGAAGAGTAGTGGTAACGGGGATGGAGGACTTGTCAGCGAGCTCCTTGAGGATCTCGGGACCACCCTCGGAAAGGATGATACCCTGACCAGCATAGATGATGGGCTTCTTAGCCTTGTTGACGAGGTTGCCGACGCGCTGGAGGGCACCCTCGAGCTGCTTCTTGGTCACGTCCATAGCAGCGCGGGAAGCGGCACTAGGCAGAGAAGGCAGAGCAGTCTCGGTAGGAATAGCTCTCCGTAGGATACCGGCAGTAACATCCTTGGGAAGGTCGACGAGGACGGGACCGGGGCGACCGCTGGTGGCGATCTCGAAAGCTTCGTTGATGCGTCGAGGAAGTTCGGCAACGTTCTTGACCATGACGTTCCACTTGGTGCATGCACGAGAGATACCGACAACGTCGGCCTCTTGGAAAGCATCACTACCAATGGCAGTTGTCACGACCTGACCGGTGAAGACAACCATGGGGGTACCGTCAGAAAGGGCGTCCTGCATAGGTGTAATGACATTTGTAGCACCGGGACCAGATGTGACGAGAACAACACCG